AGATTTAACAGAGGTTAATGAAGACTTAAAGATGCTCAAAGAAAACAACTAATTTATCTAACTCAACAACAGATTTTTTTTTTTTTTTTTTTTTTTGGCTGGGGCTGGGTTTGAACCCACCACCTCCGGCTTATGGGGCCAGCGCCCTACTTCTTTGAGCTACAGGTGCCGCCCATCAACAACAGATTTTAGAAGCAAAGCACATGGGCCTGATAGCCTGTTAGAGCCTCTGATTACTCAGGAACTGGTAAGAAACTCTGAGATAAGCTTAAATAATTAGAAGAACAGGCAACAAAGATGCTCACCACAGGAAAAAAAGTCTTATTCAAAAAAATAAAAGGGCCGGGCACAGTGGCTCTCATCTGTAATCCCAGCACTTGGTAGGCCGAGATGGGTGGATTGCCTGAGCTCACAGGTTTAAGACCAGCCTGAGCCAGAGCAAGACCTCATCTCTAAAAATAGCCGGGCACTGTGGCGGGCGCCTGTCATCCCAGGTACTTGGGAGGCTGAGGCAAGAGAATCGCTTAAGCCCAACAGTTTGAGGTTGCTGTGAGCTGTGATGCCACGGCATTCTACCGAGGGCTACAAAGCAAGACTCTGCCTTAAAAAAAAAACAAAAACAAAAAAATAAAAGGAAGGGGGCATAGTGAGAGAACATTTAGGCAAGAAGTACTGATAGTAAAGAAGGAAATCAGGTACCAGCTTCCCAAGTACAGTTCTCTTCTCATCTGAAACTCTAGTAGCAAGAGAGATGGCAGCCACGCGGCGAGGCTGGGTCACAGCAATGATGCCCTGGCGGCTGATCCCCGCTTCATAGAGGTACTGAGGAATCTGAGTCGTTTTCCCTGAGCCAGTTTCCCCTAAGAAAGAAAAAACAGTCTCATTGAAATGACATGTGACACAAATTTCACCAAGTAGTTCAAAGTCAGAAGAAAAAGATACAAGAAAATACTGTGACTTGGAAAAGCCTCAGGAGAATGAACCCTCATGTACACTGCTGGTAGAGTGTTAATTGGTGTAGTTCCTCAGAAGGCCACACTATATTTTTAAAATCTTTAATGTGTGTATAACCTTTGACCCACACTTTTACTTGCAGAAATTGATTCTAAGGAAATAAAGATATATATATAAAGATATAGCTTCAAACATGTTTTATTCAACTTTACTCATGACAAAAAAAATTGAAACAATATGAATATTCAATGGGAATCTGATACAGTTAAAACAGTTAAATAGGGCAGGTGCAGTGGCTCACTCCTATAATCTTAACACTCTGGGAGACCAAGTCAGGAGGACTGTTTGAGGCCAAAAGTTCAAGACCAGCCTGAGGAAGACACTCCCCGCCCAGGTCTCTGCAAAAAAATAGAAAAACTAGCTTTTGTCCCATCTACTCAGGAGGCTCAGGCAGGAAGAACCCCTGAGCCTAGGAGTTGGAGGTTGCAGTGAGGATGTCACTGCACTCTAGCCAGGGCAACAGAACAAGACTCTTGTCTTAAAAAAAGTAAAAAGAAAGAAAAGAAAAAGAAAAATTAAATAAAATAAGACTGCTGGATGTAGTGACATGAAGAGACATCCACTCATGCAGTGCAGCCTTCATAAACTCTTTGCCATGCCACTGCCTGCCAGTTTATTCTAAATCCCCTGCCTTTGCCTGCTATTACCGAATACGTGCCCTCACAGGGACCACCTGGCAAACTACAGGATGAGTCAGGCCTCAAACTCACTCCCCTGGGGGTGCTCAGGTGGTCCTCCTCTGGGGTCCTTCGTGTCTGCTTATCTCTCTTCTAGCACAACCATCCTAAACTGTATAGAAGTGTTTAATTTGTCTGTCCTCCTCCAATACCAGAAGCTCCTTAAGGGCATATAAGGTCTAAACGTCTCTCATGAATATTTGAACATCCTGCATACAGTAAGCATCAGTAAATGTTATTTTCTACCCACTGTGTGCTCCCTTAGCAGTACCTAATTAGAACAAATACTTAATAAAGCTGTGCATTGTTCTCCCTTGCTATCACCACACCTCTCTAACCCCAGAGTCCTCCAGTCCCACTACTCATGCATTTTCTCTAAGCTCATCAGCACTCCCTACCCTGACTGCTCATCCTTCCTGACCCAGTCGAGAGTCATAGACTAAGAATTTGATTATTCTGCAATCTTCCTGCTGAATCCACCAAACCTGGATCAATGTCTCTGTCAATCTTTCATACTCTTAGGCCAAGGCAACTGAGCATTGCTAAAGTAAAATACAAGTTGAGTACCCCTTATCTGAAATGCTTGCAACTGGAAATGTTTTGGATTTCATTTTTTTTTTTAATTTTGGAATACTTGCATTATTCTTAGTTGTCTAGCACCCCAAATCTGAAAAATTCGAAATCCAAAATGCTCCAAAATCCAAAACTTTTTGAGTGCCCAACAGAATATTTAAAGGAAATGCTCATTGGACTATCTCAGATTTTATTTTATTTTTATTTATTTATTTATTTTGAGACAGAGTCTCACTATGTTGCCCTGGGTAGAGTGCCATGGTGTCACAGCTCACAGAAACCTCAAACTCTTTGGGCTTAAGCAATTCTCTTGCCTCAGCCTCCCAAGTAGCTGGGACTACAGGCGCCTTCCACAAGACCCAGCTATTTTTTGTTGTTGTTGTTGTAGTTGTCATTGTTGTTTGGCAGACCCAGGCTAGATTCAAACCCTCCAGCTCCAGTGTATGTGGTTGGCGCCCTAACAGCTGAGCTACAGGCACCGAGCCTATTAAAGATTTTAGATTTTCAGATTTGGTTTGCTGAACTTATTTGGTTGTATAGAGGCAAACCACAGAGGCAAAGCTGAGTTTGTCGTGGGGCCAAAATGCACCTAGGTACCAACACTTTTGTTCATCTTTTTCTTTTTTTTTTTTTTTACCAGCCTCTCCTCTGTCTCCATCCTCCCCAAGGCCCTATTTGAAGCCATGTGATTCCCATTCTCAGAAGAGCTCCTGCACCTGTCTCACAGGAAAAGCGAGGTTTTCAAATGTGATCTTCTGCTTCTCCCCACAAACTTTTCTGCAATCACATCATTCTTACCTCCTTTCTACAGACCCACAGCCTCTTAGACAGGAGTACTCCTCTTCTTGGCCAGCACTGCATCTAGCCTTGTTACCAAGTGCACCCATCCCCATGAGTCCCAATCTTTGCTGTTAGTTTGATTCTATCTTCAGCTTCCCTCTGTACTGAGTTCTTCCCCTCAACTTATGAAACCAGGTGGCCCCCAACTCAAGTCTTTGACATTAAGATGGTGCAAAAGCAATACGCATTCAGTAGAAACTGTACTTTAAGTACTTATACAGCCATTCTGTTTTTCACTTTCCACATAATAGTCAATAAATTACATGAAATAGTCAAGATTTTTTTATATAATAGGCAATGAGTTATGGCCCAACCGTAGGCAAATGTAAGTGTTTTGAGCACTTTTAAGGTAGGCCAGGCTAAGCTACAGAGTTCATTAGGTCAGGTGTATTAAATAAATTTTTGACATGATTTTTTCTTTTTTTGCAGCAGAGTCTCACTTTTTATACTCATTAGGGTGCAGCAGCATCACAGCTCACAGCAACCTCAAACTCTTGGGCTCAAGAAATCCTCTTGCCTCAGCCTCCTGAATAGCTGGAACTACAGGTGCTGGGCTAGTTTTTTTTAACTTCAATTTTTAGTAGAGACGGGGGTCTCACTCTTGCTCAAGCTGGTCTCGAACTTATGAATTCATGCAATCCACCTGCTGTGGCCTTCTAAAGTGCTAAGATTGTAGGCATGAACCACTGCACCTGGCCCTTTGACATGATATTTTCTTTCTTTTTTTTTTTTAGAGACAAGAGTCTCACTTTGTCACCCTCTGTAGAGTGCTGTAGTGTCACAGCTCACAGCAACCTCCAGCTCTTGGGATTAGGCAATTCTCTTACCTCAGCCTCCTGAGTAGCTGGTGACATGATATTTTCAACTTACTATAATGGGTTTATTTGGACATACCCCCATGGTAAGTCAAGGAGAGTCTGTACTTGGACGTTCCTCTCAGCTCCTCTTCCCTCCTTTCTCTTAAAACAGAAGCCTGCTTGCACTGACTTTATTCTTTCACCTCCTACTTTCTTTTCTGCCCAATAACAAATCAGCTGTTACACCCACCACTCTGCTGAGAGTGTTCTCAATGGGATTCACAATCAACACCTTACATCCAAGTCCAGGGGACATCTTTTTTATTGGGGGGGAGTCACATAGTCCACATATTACTGGACCTCACTGTTGCATGCGTTCACTTCCTTTTAACAACTTTCTGTCCTTTGCCTACCAGCTCTCCTGGGCTCCTTTCCCTCTTTGGTGGCTCAGTTTGCAGTAGCTCCTCTTAAATGTTCAGGATCAAAGGCCAGTGAAATCAGTCCTCGCCCCTTGCTGCCTCTTAACACGCATCAGAAACTACTATTTCCCACTCGAGGGACTGTTTCCTGTCTCCAGTCTCTCAGGCGGGCTCTACCCGGACTAGAATACTTCCCCTACTCCCCGCCCCCACCACTCCGTCCAGGACCACCTCCACACAGACTAGGTCATAGCTCCTCTTCTACCGAAAGTCCCCGGTTGGCCCCTTTACCCTTCCACACGGACGTGAACCTTTGCCTATAATAGTAGGTCACTCTCAGGGGTCTCTCAGCACCTCCAGGGCAGGGCTGTGCTCTGCTCCGATGCCCTTCTCTAGATGTGGCAGAAAAACGTTCAGGTTTGTTGAAGGAATGAACGAAAGGGTGTAAGAGGGACCTAAGAAACAACTGTTCTCGAAAAGTCAGGAAAGTCACGAAGGGCCCGCTGACGCGGCCACTCACCGATAAGGACAGCGCAGTCCAGGTTTCGGAGCTGGGCCAACAGCTGGCCGCGCGCCTGGAAGATGGGCAGACTCCGGCGCTGCAGCTCCACGGCCTCAGGGTAGGGACTGACCGAGGGCTGAACCAGGGGCGGCTGCTGCCTACGGCCTCCTCCTCCTTTGCCGCCGCTGCCCGGAGTCAGCAGCATCACCACTCGCCCGCCGGGACGGAAGGACCCGGCGCGGCTCGGAGGCCCAGAGCCCGGCCGGAATCTCTTGGCCGGCGGGAAGCCCGCCTCCTCCGGCATGTCGCGAGGGCGCCGCGGCGGGACGCGCGGGCGCCAGCAGCTCCGGCCCGGGCAGGTGCGGACAGCTGGCGCGCACCGCCCCTTCCCGGCCACGTGCTAGCGGCCTCCGGCGACCACCGACAGCTACCCGGCCACCTCCCGCCTTTAGGGAAGGGACTGCAACTCCCAACATGCATTCGGGGTGGGAAGGCGTTCATTTCCCGGGGACGGAAAAGCAGGGCCTGACGTACACCCAGGAAAAGGACCGAAGGTACAACTGCAGAAGACAGCGTGTGTGGTTCCGTCTCCTCGGATAACAACGTTCTTCTAATTTATTGTTATAACATAAGGTGACCAGACGTCCCGCTTTTGAACAATTTGTCCCGCGTCCCCCCGCGTTTTAAAAAAGTCCCGATTTTTGGAAAGAATGCATGACAAGTTAGGGAACAGCGGGAGAATGGGAAGGGAATATAGAGTTTTCGGCTGCTGAAAAGGTTAATGTAACTTCATTCGGAAAGCAAAAGGCTAATGTAAACTCCCTACTTCCCTTCTGAGCAAGGTATCAGAAGGAGACTGGCTCCCTCCCTTGCTTCTAGGCAAGGGAAATTAGCTCAGCAGGAGCCAAACTGTCTGGAACAAACAAGTAGCCACCCACCCCAGAAGGTGCCTAACCATAAACAGCTCAGCCAATAGCCTCCCCCCTCCCCCCCATCAATGGTGTCCCGCTTTACCAATGTTTTACCAATGTTAAAATCTGGTCACCTTATCTGTGGG